CTAATATATATATAACCTCAGAACACACACACACACACATATATTGCACAAAAGGTCTTCTGAAATTATGTTTCTCTCTATTCTCAAATATGAGATGAAAAATATCCTATGATCAAATTTAAATTTTAAAAATACCATGACAGAATTATCTGTATTCTACCTGCATGGAAATTTATAAAGAGGATAATAGGTAGAAAGAATTGGGTACATGACTTCGGGACGGTATTATCAATATTTTCAAATATACTTTCATAGCTTAAATTTTACTTTAAATGTAATCTTAGATACTCAAGAAGTTGAATTGCTGGTTCATCAATGCATTTTGTAGCATTCAATGCTTGTTATGGAGCAAGTCTGAAAAAATATTCTTACTTTTTTATAAGTAAGCCAATAATTATTTGTTCTATCTGTGACAAATCAAAATATTGGTGTATCCCATTCAGACCACAGCTTTTGACAAAACAGTGAATATGCTTGGTGACAATTCTATTAATTGTGCCTTTCTGGTTGAATTTAAGAAAAGCACATATAAAAGGAATGGATGAAGGCACTCATATAAGCAAAACACTTTTCTGAGAGCTATCTATGACTTGATTTAAGGGGAATAAAGCCCAAGGGAGTGATATAGTAATATTTTAGTTACATCTTAAAACATATGATTTTAGCAGAAATCTTTTAGATAGTCCCAAGTATCATTGCTCTTGACCTAATGAAATATATATATTACATGATTTGGACAATCTTTGTGAATAAAAGAAATTCATTTTTCAAAAGACCTAGCTCTACATGAAATTATGAAGGAGACTTCTCTCCAATATTACATATCTCTGATAAGATTCTGGCAAATGAAGCAGTATACTTACTTCTAGCCACCGTCACTTTCTTGGCCTTTCACATTTGCACATGCCCAGGAGACATTTCTGTCAAAGTGAAACAGTGGGCAAAATGAAGGGGTTTGGATTGGTGGCACTGAGCACCTCATTTTACAAGATTTGTGAACATACAATCTTCATGGAAAAGTCCTTAGAATTCAAAATGTGCTTAATATTGGGCCATGAATGAGGTTATCATCTGGGTTGACCAACAGGTGTTGCTGCTGCCTCCACAAATTGGAGTTATAAGTTAACCCCCCCCATTAGGATAGGAGGGTCGGTTGCCCACACCTCAAGGAAACAAAGCAGGTGCTTTCCTTGCCCATCCAGCCAGGGGGCTGGTTAAATTACACTCAGAAAGAATAGCCTTGCTTCTTTCATGAAATTCAATTACAGAGAAAGAGAGGTGGCACCTTTTGTGATGCAATGGGACAATCTGCGCTTCTTGTGGCCCCCTTCTGCTGGCTACTTTGATCTGAATGCTATTGTCTGGCTTTAACACCTTCACCTTTAATTCCAAACAGAGGAGGCCTATCCAGCAGTTTTTCTATAGCAAGAATTGTTCACGTCTTCTTAATAGGAACCCTCAATTATCCAGGAAGCCAGAAACTAAATACACATAGTTTTGGTGAAATATAAGATTATTCTCACCAGTATTAAAACAAGTAGGAGAGGCCACATTAAAGACTCAAGTTTTACTTTCTAAGACTATTGCTTAATAAAAAGCATACTGGCAACAGCTCAGCAGCACATTAGGGCTGGAACCAGTTCAACCCAAAATGCAGAAAGGAGATGTAACTGAGTAAAATAATACAGGTCAGACAGGCTCTCCAGCTCACCTTAATAATATCATTATTGTAAAGCGCTATCGCCATATTGACACGACCCAAGCCTGTGACAGTTCAACACTATAGTATTGCAGATTTGCATCACAATCCTTGGTGGAACAAAACCATACTCTTCAGTTGGGGAGAACTGCAACCTAAGATGCCAGAATCCAATTCTGCACGATAAATCTCACATACATTTTAGGATCAGAACAGTGTGGATTAGGAGGCCATCAAGCTGAGCTTTCCAATTGACCAAGAAAAAGTGATTTTTCACTATGCTCAACAAAAGACATCTCTCATTTGGAAAGTCAAACCATTTAGTGTCCTCTCTTAAATAGTTTTACCACTCTCTCTCTTTTTCAGATTAGATTACAGTAATTATTCATCAGTTGCATGTATATAATGTTCTTAGGCTTCTTGCATTAGCTTTCTAAAATTAATTCATGTTGGATTTATAACCTGGTCTTTCTTTCAGGAATTCAATGTTGCATATAAATTATATGTGTACAGATCACACTAAGCCAGTTCACAATTACCCAGGTTTATGCAATACTATACTAATTTGTAAGCCATGATCTTTCTAGAATATCTAGGTTCACATAACATCAAAAACCAGAAACAAACAAACCACTTTATACCTTAACATAAACCCAACAGGAACAGTCTTTTCACCACTTTTTCCTGCAACAACCCCGCAAATAGTTGGGCTGAGATACAGTACCTCCTGCCCATAAAGTCACTTATTAAGCATCCATATATGAAAATGCATTTGTGTTTAGTCTCTGGAGTTTTATTTATTTATTTTTTAAATGTATTTTATTGATTTTTTGCAATAACAATCTTCAGTGTTTAGTAAACCGTGTGTTGTCTGGGTTCATATATCTGAAAAAACAATCAATAATAATTATTTTCTATAATTCCATGATCAAGATATTAATTAATAGTATGATTCCTTGATCTTCCCTTCTTCCAATGTTATTCTCTTTTGTCAACATTAATAAATATAATATTTTCAATACATACAAGGTTGGATATAAACATTTGTTGTTGTTCAGATAACAATAACATCCATATATAACATTTTTTCTAATTAACTTATGTTTCGATTGTATTTGAAAAAGTCATCTTGTTAGGTCACTACGTGTCCTGTTTTCGAAATTCCTATTTAAACTTAATTTCCCCTCAGTATTCAGACCATTCTTATCAGTCATAGTTTTCTCAAAATTAATTACCTAAATATTCAAACTTTTCATTTACATACCCCATCCCTGTATTTTCATATTTCATATATTATAAAGATACCATACTACTTATGTATCCTATTAACATCCACATATAACATCTTTTCTGAGCGGTTTATATTTCAACTATATTTATAAAAGTCATCTTATTGAGTCACTATATGTCCTGTTTTCAAAATTCTTATTTAAGCTTACTTTCCCCTCGGTATTCAAATCACTCTTCTAAGTCATAATTCTCTCAAATTTAATTATCTTTAAATGTTTAAACTTTCCAATCACATACATCATCCCAGTATTTTAACATTGTATACATTATAAAAAATAGTATACTACTTATATGAGACCCATCCAATAGATTCCTGTCCTGTAATAAACAAAACTGTGGGTGGGTGGGTGTAACTAAGAAGGATGGAGCAATGTGTCTGATTATATATGCACATATTGTGGCTCATTGTGCAATCAGATGAGTATATTTAAAATAGGGGGGAAATTACTTTTCACTTATCCTTGACCTGACTGGCAAAAGTCTCTGAAGATTACTGTATCTGTTTAAAGCAGGGAGAAGCAATGTATTGGTTTCCCAGATACCGCTATACTTTGTGGTCCATCATTTGTCACCATTATCAGGAAAGAAGCTATAACTCAAGAACAAAATTGGCCATCTTTGAAAGAAATAATATGCCTAAAATATGTTCCCAAGCAAAAAATAATTATATTGCCAATATTGGATTTGAAGCATCATGGATATGGTTGATCTAAAGATTTTAACTATGTAGCCTCCATTTTCTATGCCATTGTTAGACAAGATGCTTCCTCCTATTCCCCCCACCCCACCCCCGATCTCCAGTTCTTTAAAGATAGCTACTTTATTGCTTGCTTCAGTCACTCAAATTACTTCAACTGCCTCATGTACTGAATAGCAAGAGAGAGCATGGTATAAAATGGAAAGTGCCTGATATTTTTCTCTCAAGATGAAAACATATCTTCAGCCACTTTTTATATTCAGCATCAAAAATGGTTTACAAAATGAATCACCCATATAGATCTGACATCAACAGCAAGAACAGCAACATTTCCCCATCTTCCATTTTTGCAGTTTGTTATTTATAAAAGACACCAACATTTCTATGATGCTATTATCACCATGAAATGCTTTCCAAAGGAGGTAGAAGAATACTGCATTCCTAATAAAAAGTCTGATTCAGAAATAGTTGGGCCAAAAAGTATATTCGGAAGATGCCCTTCTTATTTTCACATAAACTCCCTCAGAAAGGTGTACAGCTTGTAGACGTATGAGGACTGCCTATATTTAGAAAATTCAGTTAAATGAAGACAAAACATTTCCAAGAAAATATACCCAAAGACAAAATTTGCGAATTAAGAAATAACCCCATATAATACTCTAAACACTTATACAAGTTTCTTGAAAGCATCAAGCCTCAGTCCCTGCAGGCTTTAGGCCTGGAAGAATCATACATTCCTTTTTAAGACAATGATTAGACCCATATGTCATTTCTGCTCAACCTACTCAACAGGATTGTTTTAAATCTAAAAAGTGGGGAAGAAGGAGAGGAAATGAGCCAGGTACCATCTCTCTAATAATTGCAAGATAACAGAAAACTGTGTGTGTATAACACTGAGCTTATGTAAAGCAATAACTCAGGCAATATGGGGTCAATGCCTCCATTGTACTGTACCATGTAGTGGATGATTTTTCATTAAAAACCAATCTGTAGAAACTGTGCAATATCTGATGCTACTGATGTTATGATGCTGTTATCAATCTGATTTACGTATTTGCAGTTTTACTCTAAACCAGGGATGTTTTAACTGTGTCAACTTTAGGGCTTATGGACTTCAACTCCTAGAATTCTGGGAACATAAGTCCACAAGTCTTAACCTTGCCAATTTTGGACTCCCCTGCTCTAAATCTTTTTGACAGCTAACAGCAAAAGGGCAATCATTGTCATTATGCACGAAGAAAGCTACAGTGCTTGAGATTTGGGACTTCAGATTTAATGCTAGTACAAACACAAAATAATTTATAAAACGCCAACTGTTTCAAAAATATTTTAATTACATATGCTAACATCTGTGCTCTTAAAAAAGGACTCACATAGATTACATTTTACAATTTCCTTTTTTTAAGTTAATACATAAAACTTCACAATATGCAAACAACTTTAGTGGTTTCTCCATATGTTCTCAGAGCATGAGAAATTCAAAATTATATTGCACTGGTAAACCTAGAGCACTGAATTGCCCAAATTGCACCACTAGAAGAAAAAGGTAGCATGAAGAATGTTTGGAAGTTATACCTGCTATCCTGAGTACAGAAAAATGCTCATTTTTCTTAAGCTTAAAATTAACAAAATGTTACATAAAGAATCATGTTCTTCATAATAGTTGTTACTGATGACCAAAAAATAAATCAAACCAAAACAAGCCAGGGACAGAGGAATGTTGTCCTCTTGCTTCAATGGCCTTAGAAATACAGCCAATAATGAAAGGTGCTACCATCAGTATCAGCTGGAATATCAAAAGGTCCTCACCCTTAAAGTAAGCTATGAAAATTCTGGGCTTAAAAGAATGCCAAACATTCTTTTGATATAAATAGCAATAGCACTCAGATTTATATACCGCTTCACAATGTTTTCCAGCCCCCTCTAAGAGGTTTACAGAGTCAGCATATTGCCCCCAGCAATCTGGGTCCTCATTTTACCAACCTCAGAAGGATGGAAGCAAAAAACAGATTTAATATTTCAGAGAAAGGCTACAGCATAGTTACTCTTCCTTAACTTTGTTTGTATAAAAGAATGTTTAAGGAAGGGTAATTCAAAATGTAATCCATATGTAATATAGTTAAGAAAGGATTTTCTTTTGAAAATGGGAGTTTTAACGATGAAGAAAATAAACCTCATGCTATCCAAAGGAATGCATATCAGAAACCCAGATCATAGCAAATGAAATGCCTATTGATCAATAATAACTGTTAAATTAATGTTTTTATTTTTATAATGCATAAATATTTTCCTACATGCAAGGGTGGTATACCAGTCTCTCAGCTTCCATACTCTGTGTGACATGGAACACATTGTCTTTCTACTTTAATATTTACTTATCTTATTATTAATTAATTCTTAATTAAGGCAAGTAGAGAATAACTAAATCTTTTTTTTAAAAAATATAGTAGCTGCTATATTTGGTCTCAATTTAACATTTCTCAAAATAAACAAAATCCATCTAGATACATTGGCACATTCTCTGCAAATCTAAAACCACCTTTGCATTTTAAAGGAAAAATTACTTGGGAGAAAGAAATCCTTAAAGATAAATACAGCTACTTTTTAACTATTCCCTCCTCTTTTATTTAGGTCAAAAATACAAAACTGATATGTGTTTGTAGGACATAATAAACTAAAAATTAGCAATCACATTATAGTCTAATAGGGATATAAAAAAATTCTACCATTGCAAAATGTAATATTCAGCACTTTTCCAAAATGTTCCATGTTCCATTTTTCAGAATGTTTGTGGCATTCTGCATAAAACAGGACAGGATCATGTTTGGAAAACCACAAACTCATTCCAGTTCAGAGAATTAACTTTAGGAAAAAATCACTGGAGCATCCCTGAAATGACTAAATCAGCATGGTCCAAAAGAGAAATGTTCAATTTCCGGAGGACTAAGAGTTTTCCCTTATATGCCACAGATTTCATTTTGAACCATTTCAAGCATAAAATTTCACAAACGTCCTCATAATGAGCACTCAAAAACTGTTTTGAGGCTTCTGGAAACTGAGCTGTTTTGAGCTCAACATTTATTGGAATGTACAAAACCAGTGATTTTGCACTCTATGAGCATACCAAAAACGGCTCGGTGCATAACCTCTTGCACAATATTTGAAGCAAACTGTTATGCGAACCAGCCTATCTGATGAATTAATGGCTCAGTATATTGTATGGAGCCAGAAAATTGGGTGAAGTAAAATATGGCCTTTATATATATGTCAGTGTTTTTCTACCTCATCAACTTTAAGATGTGTGTACTTTAACTTCCAGAATTACTCAGGCATTTCCACGTATCTTCAAGGTACTGAGGTTGAGAAACATTGCATATATTTTATGAACAGAACTACGTCACCTAAGGAAGAGAATATTTCAATGCATTTTTAATTAAGCAACTATTATGAGATGATCATAGTTATTTAATCAAATGTCAAAGAATTTCCCTTTCAGCAATGACGAAAAAATTCAGAAGTGAGACAGAAAGCAGAATAAGACTATTTAGCATCCCTGAATGAATAAAATAACAACCGAATGGGAGCTCTATAATTCACTGAATTGCGTCACTAGGTGGGTCATCTCTTCAGACCAAAGATATCTCAATTAGATTTGTTGTTCTTATTATAGCATTCATCCTCATAAAGAGCTGCTTTTATCTGTCAATGTATTTTAGGGAATTCCAGGGAGTCACACAGATAGAGATTTTACATAGTACCTGATGGAATCATAACATAGCCAACACAAATATATTTGCTACTGATATGATTAAAAGGACTAAGATTTAATTTCTATAATTTTGTTTTTACTGGCATGAAACAATGTTGTATTTTTATTTGACATAGATGCCCAAATTTTAAGGCCAGTGGGTTGAATTTGAATAAAATCTGTGTGTCATAGATGTTCTTGCAAAATGGGTTGGGTAATACTCACAAAATGTTTGCTACAATACATGTGGACAGTTACAAAACTCGCCTACGAACCCAAGTATGAGACATAGACCTAGTCTCTGCCAATTATTTCAACTGTTTTCCTCTACAGTACTTATTTCACTAAGGACACACACAGAGCAGGCTTCACCAAAAAGGTAAAACAAGGCAAAGTTGAGCCTCAAACAAGAAATAGGGGTTGTAACCCATTCTATTCCCTCATTGGTCTTAGTCTAGATTGCCTCAGATTGGCTGATCCTGATAAGGAAGGGGATTAGAGGGGCAGGGAGACAAAACATTATGCATCTTAATGCCATGAATTCGAGTCCCCAAAACTGGAATTGTATTATTGTATTCTTCTTCTTTCTACAATAGCTTGCCGCATTAGAACATATAAAATAACAATTTTTATATGAATCCCTACCTTTAGGTTTTAAACTTTTATCCTATATTTGAAACATTTAGACATTTACTAAAACACTTTTCTAACAATAAGGCACTGTCCTGGCATATCACACAACAAATACTAAAAAAGGAAGTTTGCCTCTGTAGAAGGTTTGCCTTTTGCACTGTCTCTAGTGCTAGCACCAGGCCGGCAGACATAGTTATTTATCTTCCACCACATTTAGTATAAAGTGCGGTATCACTGATCCATTTCCCTTTCTTAAAAGCAATTAATACTCCATAATTATCTATTCCATGTCAACTTAAAAGGAAGTCAAATTAGAATTTAAAAATATGTTTAAAATGAACCCAAGTGATCTTTAAAGACCGTCTATTGTAGGCAACATTCAAAAATAAAATCAAATTAGCACTCTTTCTAGAAAGAAATAGGAGTTATCTTCTCTTTAGCTATAAAACCTGCATGCAGGCATAATGAGGCTGGATTGCCACTTCCAGCTAGGTGTCATCTATATAGATGCATATGTGGATGCTGGTGAAGTCTTGCAATCAGTTCTTCCTCCGTTGGTTCTTCCAAAACATCCCTGCAAGAACAAGTCAGAATCACTGAAAAATAGCAGAATCAGTGTCTTAGTACAGACATTGTACATATTTTTACACACCAGAAATAACTTCCCTAGGCATTTCAACATTAAAAGCCCCTATAGCACCGTGGGCCGGATGCGTCATGCCAAAATCACGCCCACCCCAGCTCCGGCAATGGGGAACAAGTTGTGATACATTGCGACACGTCACATGACATTGTGAGTTTGACACCCCTGCCCTATAGTCTATCATTCATTATTCAATTACCAATAGATACTTCATACGCAAAATTATATTTTGTTTTATTTTAAAACAGATTCTCTAACAACTTTGCTAGTATAGTATATAGGTAGTCCTCAACTTACAACAGTTCATTTGGTGACCATTCGAAGGTACAGTGGCACTGAAAAAAGTAACTTATGACCGTTTTTCACATTTACGACCGTTGCAGCGTCCCCATGGTCACGTAATCAAAATTCAGATGCTTGGCAATTGACTCATATCTATGATGGTTGCACTGTCCCAGGGTCATGTGATCCCTTTTAGCAACCTTCTGACAAGTCAAGTCAATGAGGAAGCCAGATTAACAACCATTTGACTAACTTAACAACTGCAGCGATTCACTTTACAACTGTGGCAAGAAAGGTCGTAAAATGGGGCAAAACTCACTTAACAAATGTCTCACTTAGCAACAGAAATGTTTGGCTCAATTGTGGTCGTAAGTCATGGACTACCTGTAATCAGATAACAAAAATAGGGCAACATGCTCTAAATTCTGGCACTCTCTGCATGGAGTCCCTGATGCTATTTTTCCTTGCAGTGTTTTAGTCCTGGTAGCAAAGAAAATAACTGTTATTGATCATTTGCCTCATTCTAGTCCTCGGTTAGTTTCTTTTCTCAATTAAAAATATAAAGCTGCTGCATTGCTGTGCTTGTACCTGAAGAGGAGTTCCACTGTCATTTGATATTCAACTTCTGAGAGAGATGGCCTATGGCAGCGACGATCCCATTTATGAATAAAATTCTGCAATTTAAGGAAACCAATATCATTTTAAGAGAGAGAAGCCTCTTACTCAATTCATTTGCAATAGGTTTTAAAAATTCAAGGCACTCAGTCAATTCATGTGATTAGCATATAGTTAGACATGGCTATTTGTGGAAGTCACAGTAACAAAAACTATAACTGTGTTGAAATTCAGATGTTTAAAAAAAGAGAAAATTGCATTCTATAAGGTTTAAGGAAAGCTGCTGCACAAATTTCTATGGACAGCGTACTTCCTTTCTTTATTAACAATTCAAAGAAAAGTATCTGACAAATCAACTCAAAGTTGCCCAACCTAAGGTACTCCAGGTAAGTATCATCAATAGTAATATGCAAGACTTCTCAGACCTAACGTTAAAGTCATGTGTTTGTGCAAAAGGTGCCTCCATGGAAAGTCATGCACTTTCAAGCCTAGTAACCCAACCTAAAAAATAAATTTTCCAGCAAACTTAGTACTGTATATGCTGTTCATCCTAGTGTGACATCAGGAGATTTGCTACTCCATGTGAAATCATCCATAAATGCGATTTGCTACTCCAAGTGAAACCACCCGTAAATGCTCATGTGTTCTTGAAGCCTATTGCTTTGGATGACCAGTCAAGCCTTACCTCTAAAAGCAACGCTATAAAAAGGTTGACCCAGATGACAGAGGAAGTCAACCACCAGGTGACAAAGTACAATTTTGACCAGCTGCAAAAGAAAAAAAAAAGAATAAAATCAAGTCATGCCTATTATTACAATTCCAGTCTTAGAATTCCCTGCACTGTGTGACCTATAGCACACCACACATTTCCTGTGTGGTATTCTTTCCAGTTCCTTTTACAAATTACAAAGTTGGATATCCTTGTATAGATGAATTATTCCTGCCACTTAAATCTTTCTTGTGGCCTTTTAGCATTTTTGCTGGCTCTAGAATTTTCTTGTTGATTTTTCTTTTTTTTCTTTTTTGCCCTAGATACCCCTGAATACACTCTAAATCCACTCTACTGCTTGTCCAAAAGGTGCTTTTTCCAAAAAGCAATTGGACATTCTTGGTTTTGTTTCCTTTCAAAATGTTTCACTTCTCATCCAAGAAGTTTTGAAGAACTGAAGTTTCTTGGATGAGAAGCAAAATGTTTTCAAGGGGGAAAAAACCCCAAGAAAGTCCAATTGCTTTTTGGAAAAAATACCTTTGGCACCACCATGACTTAGACCCGGGGTCTTCAAACTTGGCAACTTTAAGACTTGTGGACTTCAACTCCCAGAATTCCTCAGCCAGTCCTGCAGATGAAAATCTCCATAGATACTCTATTGCTCATATGTTATAATCTAATTAAGGCTGTTACCAGTTCTAGATTTTTTGCAGTTTATGTATTGTAACTAGCTTTTTTAAAAAATATATCCTCTATACCCCTCTTGCTATACTAGCTCGTTATTGCTGATTCCTGGCTTATCTTGGCAGTGCTCCAGAATAGACAGCCAACTTGTTCCCACTCTATTTTTCACTTTGTCTGAGAGCATAAAACTAACAGAAGAGAATATTTATCGGTCAGAGTTCGACTGTGGGGTCCTTGGCTGGGAGTTTGGCTGTTTTTTTGCAGACATTTCATTACTCAACTGGATAACATCTTCAGTAATAGGAGGGAGTGGGGTTTGCTGAGCATCAAGGACCACACACTGTAAAACTACGGTAACCACAATGATGAGAGAGTCTGCCATGTAGTAGGGATCCTGGTTTTGTTGCTTCTGCATAGACCAGGGGTAGGCAATCTTGGCTCTTTTATGACTCGTGGACTTCAACTCCCAGAATTCCTGAGCCAACTGGCTCAGGAATTCTGGGAGTTGAAGTCCACGAATCATAAAAGAGCCAAGGTTGCCTACCCCTGGCATAGACCAAGGAAGCAACAAAACAGAGTATATGGTAAGAGATAAAAACATATATTTTTAAAAAAAAATTTGGAGACCTGCCTGATAATTTTTGAGAAGTCCATATCTGAATTAGGTTATCAAATGCATTGCCAAAAAAAAAAAAAAAAGCATTTGTTCATTACTCACGGAGATAAATATCTGGAATATGCATCCAAGAAAACTTGCCAGTTGTTCACAACCATCACATCCCACAAAATCACTAGTGATGCCTATATTATGGATAAGAAAAGTAGTTGAAACATTCACCTATTATGAGAGTTTCATAATATATAAGGAGCTACCCAACAAACAAACTAGTAATTAAAGCAACTATTTAATACACATTGAGTAATACTCACAGCAAAATCATCAAAGTTGTTTGGCCAATACTCCAGTTGTTCAAACGTGCCACACTGCAAAGTTGTATTACTTACAAGGCTATAATGGAATAACAAATAACTGGAAGTTATTTCATCACCATATGCACAGTGGCACTGCACAGATCAAATGTTAAATTAGCTATTCTTTACCATAAATATACTTTTAGATTTCTTACAACGAAGAGGAAAATTAAGCTTGGAGATTTTAAATCTATTAAAAATGTAGACAGGAAAAAAAAAGAGAATAAGATGCTTCAAAGCTAAAAGAATATAGCGAGAAAGAAAAACAGTCAGCCAGATGTTGCAGCAGAAGCACTTAAATTCAAGAAATATAGATTTTCCTCAACTTACACTGCCAACTGGGACTGGAATTTCTGTTGTTGTAAGTTGAGTTGGCCCAATTTTTATGATGGTGGTTAAACAAATCATGGAGTTGTTAAGTGGATGCAGCTTCCCCAATGGACATTTTTTGCCGAAAATTGGCAGAAAAAGATCACAAATCACAATCACCTGATTGCAGGATGCTGCAACTGGTCATAAAGGCAAGCCAGTTGTTAAATGCCTGAACTGAGATCACAGGACTGCGAGGGCAGCATGAGGATTGCAAGTGCAAATACAGATCATAACTCATTTTTCCCCCAAGGCCATCTCAATCATTGTTCAATGAACAGTTGTAAATCAAGGACTACCTGTAGTGTTAGCAGGGACTTAAACTAGGAATCATTCAGTCCAGAATCCTTTTCTCTGCAAGGACTCCACTCTAAAGACATTCTCTTAAAAAAGAAGATACCCAAATTCAGTGATTTTTCTTCATTGTGATGAAATTACAACCAAGGTTTTACAAAACTTGACTTTTCAAGCACAGCTGAATCTTAGAAACTCTATTGTTAAAAGACTCTTCCACAAGAGAGCAAACTGGCCCATGATAGTTCTAAATTCTTCTTATTTACATGCTTTCAAAGAAAGAGTGCCTGGACTGAAGAATCCCCATATTTGGACTCATATAACCAGCAGGCCAGAAACATATCAATTAGTAACGCAGACCTCATGCTAGAGTTTTGAAGTAAACCCAGTGCAAAACTGAGGGTTATTCTTGCACCTCTGGTTCAAGTAAGAGAAAAATGAGGCGTCTAGGCCAGGGGTAGGCAACCTTGGCTCTTTTATGACTCGTGGACTTCAACTCCCAGAATTCCTGAGCCAGCATGGCTCAGCTTGGAAACCTCTCCCTTTCCCCTCAGCGTGGCTGGCTCAGGAATTCTGAGAGTTGAAGTCCACGAGTCATAAAAGAGCCAAGGTTGCCTATCCCTGGTCTAGGCCATGCCACACTTCCAAAATACTTTCCAAAGCTCAGCACTATAGAGAAGATAATCTTCTTACCCTGTGAAATATTTCTAAGTTTGGGATCAAGGAGGAACTTCCTGCCAATGTTTTTTTCCCGCTGTCCATCACACTAGTCCTGGTGATGGCTCAAAAAACAAATAACCTCTGCTAACATGCCACCTTTCTCCCTCTAACAAGCTAGATAAGGAGGAGATGCAAAAGATAAAGGGCAAGAGCAGCACATGTACTGAAAAGGGAAGAAGAGGGAGGAGGTTCACATGTTCAAGAGGCAGTAGAGAGGAGCAGCTATACAAATCCACGTTGGTAGATGGGGGAAAAAGGTTTAATACATCAGATAGGTTGGCAGACTGGCAGTGATGTGGGGTGGACAGTTTTCCAAAGTAGAAAACTGTCTTCTAAGTTTATTTATAATGACGGGTGGACCACCAGTTGCAAATACGGCACATATAAACCTGTGATCACAATTGAGCCCAAAATTGCTGTTGCTAAGCGAGACAGTTGTTACAAGTGAGTTTTGCCCCATTTTACAACCTTTGTGCCACAGTTGTTAAGGGAATCACTGCAGTTGTTAAGTTAGTCACATAGCTGTTAAGTGAATCTGGCTTCCTCAGTGACTTTGCTTGATAATGGTCACAAAAGGAGATACATGGCCCTGGGACACTGCAACTATCATAAATATGAGTCAGTTGCCAAGCGACTGAATTTTGAGCTGGTGATCATGGGGATGCTGCAATGCTCATAAAGTGTGAAAAACACTCATAAGTCACTTTTTTCAGTGTCGTTGTAACTTCAAACGGTCACTAAATGAACGACTGTAAGTCGAGGACTATGTATATTATAGAAATTTGACAGCTTCCAACTTTAATCAATGCTTTATGGATAGTTATTCCTAGAGGCAGTATAGATATACACAATCACATCTGGTATGATTTTAATTTAAAAAAATCTCTCTCTCTCTGTAGCCCTATACAGGTAGTTCTCGGTGTACAACCATTTGTTTAACAGCCATTCAAAGTTACAACATCACTGAAAAAAGGTGATTTACATATCCATATTCATCACCATTGCACCGTCCCCATGGTCACATGATCAACATCTCGGTGTTGGCAACTGCCATTTATTGATGACAGTTGCTATGTCACAGGGTCATGTGATCTCCATTTGCACTCTTCCCAGCTGGTTTCAACAAACTAAGCTAAGGTGGAAAGCCAGATTTCCTTAATGATTATGATTCACTTAACAACCAAGATAATTCATTTAGGAACTGTGACAAAAAAAGATTGTAAAATAGGGTGAGACTCATTTAACAACCACTTTGCTTACCAATGGAAGTTTCGGACCCAACTGTGGTCATAAATTGAGGAGTACCTATATAAATCAGCCTAATTGGTATAAGAAACATCTCCCAAAAATCTTTATCACAACAGATTATTAACGTTTAGCAGTGTTATAGATCTATTTCCATGCTATGCTAGAGGCTACAAGACCAACTGTATCTTCTGGCCTTCTTCCAAGCAGGAATGGTGTGCTGACTGCCATCTTACCTGACATTGCCCTGCATGGGGGTAATGGTGCCTCCAAACAGCTCCATGCCAATTATTGCAAATGCATAGAAAGCCACCTGTGAAATAAAAATTGACATCCTACTGCAGCCAACTGAGAATGATGCAACAACACAGTGTAAGTGTCATTTAGGTTAGAGTTCTTCAACCATTCAGGGTTGGCAGCCCGGAGTGGGGGGGAGGGAGGAAAGAAGGGATGGTTTTTTGGGAGGTGAATGCATGCACTCGTGTGTGTGTGCACACACACTCAAAGCTCACACGAATGGGGCCATGAGCACTTGCGCGAATGGGGCAGCAAACGTCTGCAACACTTGCATGAGTGGGGCCACGAACACCCACAACACTTGCAGCAACGTTTGTGCGAATGGGGCCACAAACACCCGTGACTCTCGTGATGCTCACTTGAGTGGGGCTGTATGCACATGCACACACGAGTGCACTGGCCAGCCCAGTGGCCAATAGGCTGCAGCCTGGTAGTGGACCGTGCCCCAAAGATTGGGGATCCCTTATTTAGGTGACATAGTAAATCAGAAGTGTGGATTATTGTTGAACTCTTGACTTCTCCCCATTGCTTAAGCTTACACTACTATTTGCATCATACTTCCAGGAGACAGACCTCATGATTGGATGTTCATTTATTTATGTGAATACAGTTGTATTATTTTTTTTTGTTGCTCACAGCTATCAGCAGACAGCACAAGAGGTTTGCTGTAAATCATTGCATTGCTCAGGAGAAACAGCAACTGGAAAATCCAGGGATATGCTTTATTTATGGCTTGCCATGTTACCTGGACTCATCCATAGTCAAGCTCGTATTTTCCAGGAACAAAAAGAATTGTTAACTTTGAATTATAAAAATAGAGAGGGAATAAAGACAGCAACTATACAAAAGACCCTTGTTTGGCAATTTTAAAAGTAGATATAGACACTCAAGAAAATTTAAATCACCTTCCTATTCATATGCTTTCTAACCCTGAAATGCTCTTCCTAGTGTTATAACAGCTTCTCCTGTCATATTGTTTGGGGGCTGAAGTCAAATATCCCAATAACCTAAATTTTATCCACTGCTATTCCTATAAACGCATATACACGGAGGCAGGCTGTAGTGCTTCTGCAGATAATAGATGTTCCTTCAGACAATTAATTACTTCACTGTGATTTTCATTACCCTGATTTTCAGATGGGCACTAAGTAATTTCTGGCAGAAAAGCATCATAATCTATAAGTGATTTTTTTTAATGTCAATTTCTTTTATAAAAATGATCACATAAATGCTTTCAAATGTTATCTAGATGGGTCACAGCAAATCTAATGGAGTCACAGTTACTTATATCAAAATGCAGCATACACAAACTGTATGCGTATTCCTCTTTTTCTCATACACACATGTTATTGCTGGCCTTGCTTTAAGGAAGATAAACATTTCAGTGAGCCTGAGAAAATTGTTAGTATTTATGTCTCTGTTATGGAAAAAATCCCATGAATTATTTGCCAAACTATTTAAAAGATTTTAATTGTACTGGATTATCTTCACCCTGGAATGCATAAAACTGCCAATAGGTGGAGCTTTCCTCCTAGTGATAATCACAGCAAGTCAAATTAATTATTATCTAAGTCTCTTAAAATTAAGTAGGTAGTATATTATAAGGCGTGCACACAAATGACTACATGTCTCAAAGCAATAAAAAGTGTTTCTACAACTGGAGAAAGAGAGAGAGAGAGAGAGAGAAGGGGGGAAAGTAAATAATTCTGAAAATTAAGAAAGATCCATTTTAAACTTGAAAGATAATTAGTTCTACTCTAGAATCTGTTTCTAAAGCAGGAATATCATGTAAAACCTAACCATGGCTACACCATTAGGAAAGGATAACAGTATTATATAACTAAAACTCATGAAGCAATCACTGTGGATTAGTGCAAAGGAGACCAATTGTTCTTCTGAGCAGGAAATTTTCTCCTTCCCCATAATAAAAGAATTGAGGAGTGACTATGGTTTCTTGAGGTTTAATCTTTCATCAATCTAGCAGGAGAATGAATGGAATACATAATGCAACTATTTTTGTGAGATGGACAATTACATGTATTTGATTATTTAATTATTTATTTATTTACATTCTCTCTCTCTCTCTCTTTCTTTCTCCAGTTGTAGAAACACTTTTTATTGCTTTGATACATAAATAAAATGCTTTCTTTTGCCCAATTTGCAGACACCAACAATTAAATGTTCAGCTCACTGACTCCTTCCTGAAGTTTCAGAATTGTCCAAACATTTATTATCTGAAAATAATTTCATAAATACTACTTTAGCAAACAATACAAATAATACCAATAACAGCAATAACAATAATGGACTGCTGTTGATAATAATGGATTGGGAGTCAATACTGACCACTTCGAAATATAACTGGTCCTGATTATAATTCAAAGGATCCATTAATAATGCAAGTATTATCAGAGGCAGGGAGATGAAGAACAAGTAGGAGAAACAAATTCAGGTACTACTATTTAAAGATGTGATTCTCAGAAAGGCCACAAGTGAACAGAAAAAAGTTAATGATAGGAGCTATTTAATGGAAACCATTAACTGTTGACAGAATCAGAATGATTCTCTTTCTCCCTCGGTTTCAAACCGATGGAACTGTCCAATAACATTCATTACATTTACTATATAACATTCACTAGAAAACTCTGGGTTACTTCAAGGCAAGAGATGCTTTAAGGACAGTATCTAACTGTTCTTTGCTAATCTCAGAATATTAAAAGTACTTGGATGAGAGACTACAGGAAATCCCCCAGCCATACCACATGACTAAGTGGGAAAAAAAAAACCATTCTGGTAAACTACTATGACAAGTTCCCAAATTATATGGACCTGTCCATGTAGTCATCAGAAGATGAGCAGGAGTCCTTGACTTATGACTGTTTAATGACAGTTCCAAGTTATAGTGACCTTGGGAAATGTAACTTAAAACCTGCCTTCGAAGCTACAAAGGTTGCAACACCCCTGCAGTCATGTGATCACAATTCAGGTCTTGTCAATTGGCTCTCGTTTATGACAGCTGCAGCATCCTGCGGTCATGTGATTGTGACTTGCCACCTTTCCAGCAAGCTTCTGACATACAAACTTAATTGAGGAGGTGGTGGATTCATTTAGCAACCGCATGAATCACTTAACAACCACAGTGATTCACTTAACAACTGTGATAAAAAATGGCTGGCAAATCCAGTCCTGTCACACTTTATGACTGTTCTGACCTACGATAGAAATTCCAATCCCAATTGTGGTCTTAAATTGAAGACCGCTTATATTTTAATTATTAGTAGTATTTTTTTTTGAGAAACAGAGAACTAAAAACAGAGTATCAGTCTGTCTGTTGGTGTAGTGATTAAAGATACCAAGCTGGAAATCAGGAGACTGTGAATTATAGTTCAGCCTTAGTCACAAAGCCAGCTGGATGACTTTGGATCAGTCACAATCTCCTCAACAATAGAAGGCAATGACAAACCACTCCCCCAAATGTTGCAAACTACAGAGACTTATCCAATACAGCTGTTGCTAGGTCTAAAGACTGATCCAAAGGCACACATGCAAACACACACACATACATGCACACACACAAACACAAATACCATATGCTCTATGAATAACTTGGTACATGGAGAATTTCAAAAAAGTATCATAGCACGCACTCTATGAAAATTCTTACATGGCTCCTACTTTCTTCATAGCTGAGTGTCTTGGGGAGAGCAAATAAAGAAGACTGGGAAAAGCTTCCCCATTCCCCAGACTTTTCCCCATTCTCCATTCAAAGTAATTTTTTTTAAAAAATCTTAAAAGCAAACAGCGCCCTAGAACTGGATGTTTTGAGACTGTAAGCTGTCAGGATTTCAGTTGCCCTTGAACTTCTCTGGTTCCCAAACATTTGCTAAATATCAATTAGCATTTTCTTTTTTTAATTTCTTAAAAATTCATGCAATATTTTTCTCTCCTTTCCTGAAATACTCTTGAAATGTGTAGAAGGCTTGCAAGTGTAGCTTTGCTTCCCCGCTGACACCAAGTCCACCCTTAGTCTACACTAACTCTGCAGGACTCATTTATCCTAACTGTGCAAAGCACCGTTCCTTTAAAAAAAAAAAAAAACATTAAAGATTCCAACCAGCATGCAGAGGCCTCATGGGTATCCTTGTATCCCTCCAACTACGATATCTTTTGATGCTTTGTTGAAGCGTGTTGCCTGAATAGTTTAACAGGAATACAAGAGGGAAACGAAATGCAGCAAATATGAAAGGCATCATTCATCTGTGAAAATATCCCTGCATCTAGAAATATCCTCTTTCTTTGGGAGGTATTTTTTAGGCTCAAAGTATGCCTCCCATTTCCTCCCCCCAAGACTTGGGTATATTACACTCTTTTTAGCTGACAAATTAGCTTTCCATGAGTCAGCTGCTCTTAGTATTCCATAGATCCTGGAAGTTCACAGCTCATTCTTAGTCCATGTCTTTTTTTAATTGTATTTTTTTTTTACAACAATTTGATGCCTATAAACCTAGGGAGGTCCCGTACAGATAAACTTATTATTATCTCTGTACTGGGTGCTTGACCAAGTTCAAGCATTAGAAAGAAAAAGAGACAGAAAGACAGAATGGGTGGGCAGCCACTATGAAAAAAACTATTTGATTAATTTATTGAAACAATAGGGTTGCCAAAATTCGTTTCCCCAAATTGCCAATGTTTCTTGACAAAAATTATTTCATGGAAGATGGAATAAACAAAGATGCACAAATCATTATTATTATTATTTTGCTTTCTGTTTACTTACCACCAGAATTCCTGCAAAGGTTCTTATGTTTTTCACTAGATCCAGCAGTGTACTGGCAACTAAAGACATGAACTTGGGGGAAAGAAAGAAATCATTAGTGGGTTTTTTTTACATTCTTTCATCTTAAGAGAGAAAAGCAATATTAAAATCTACACAAAAAAAATGAAATTACTGTAATGTTTGGGATGATCCTTAAAAATCTGAACACAATCAGCATATTTGCTAGACGAACCATGTCCCATAGAGACAGCAATCCCAACATTTCAGGTCTCCTAGGAAAACAAGAAAAAGACATTTGCAGGAAAAAAAAAAAAAACAGAGAGGAGCCACCAGCAACATTAAAAAAGGGGTCGTTCTTTCAACCAACCAAAACATAATTTTAGCAATGCCAGATGTTGAAAAAAAAAGAAAGAAACCAAAACCGTACATAAAAGCCTGAATCTTAACCATTATTTTCCATTCTTGAATGATTTTGTTGTCATTATTTCAAGATTAAATATAGTAGGATGGAGTTTACACATATTTGTAGCAGTTTTAAAGCTGTTGCGAACTGACAGGTCCATACAACTTTTATTTTTTACTCCTTTTTTTTAAGGAGTAAAAATATAAATCCTATGTGGTAAAAATCCCAATATTGTAGCCCTTTCTCTGTAAAAAAACAGAGACTTTATATTCACACCCGTTTGAAAGAGTATCTTGATACTTCTACATGACTGAATCAGACAGAAAAAAAAATCATGTTACACTATGCAAGAAATAGCTTCTCTTTTTGAATTTTTCCACTCCAATGTTCCAACTGAACATAATCAGCTGTTACTAGAAGCACTGCTGGAGATACCAATTTCAAGGTAGCCAAACATTGCTTACTAAGGACACATACCAGCCTGGATGAGGAAACCCATATACAGCAAATGTGGACACCTCCAAAACCTTTGGGAAGAGAAGAAGTAAAAATTATAACTGACTGGGGTATATGACCCCAATGTTGTTCAAGAGCTGGGAACAGATGGGGGGAGGCAGCAAAAGGATGCGAGGAAGAAGAGATTAAGAAGTCCATTTGTTCATCATTGGGTCAGATCCATTTATTAGAAATTAATATTATTCAAGTATAACATGGGGAAGAGAAATGAACAATAACAAAGCTCCACAAGAAGTTTTTAATTCAAAAGGAAGACAATTTTGAATTTAAGATGAGCAGCACCACCCCTCCACAGGATTAGATGGGGGAGGAGGAGTGGTAAGCGCAAATAAAATCCCATATTTTGCCCATCTTAACTGCCAACTTCCACTGAAATCACTCCTGGAAATATATTTATGCATGTGTGTATGCGTGCATGCATGTATCCTAGCCTGAAGTGAAATTAAAAACAAGGGCAATGCTAGGCAAAATATTAAATTAATTGTTATTCAGTTAATGAGTACTAAATACACTTAATTTCCTATCAAACATCTAATTTGAATAGTATCAAATATCTCATTTGAAGAGTGAGTTGATTCACATCTACCTATCCTAACAGACACATATGTGCATACTATACACACACACACACACACACAAACACACACACCACTCTCTTATTTAAGAGCCATGGTGGCGCAGTAGTAGAATGCAGTATTGCAGGCTAATTCTGCTGACTGCCAACTGCCAGCAATTCAAGTTTCACCGGCTCAAGGTTGACTCAGCCTTTCATCCTTCCGAAATGGGTACAATGAGGACCCAGATTGTTGGGGGCCATATGCTGACTCTGTAAACCGCTTAGAGAGGGCTGTAAAGAACTGTGAAGCAGTATATAAGTGTAAGCGCTATTGCTATTTGCACATGCAAGCCAGACAGGGATAGCCAAAGGGCCAAATGAGGCCGGGGGGGGGGGGGGCGTAAAATGTCCAGGTTCGCTCTGGAAGGATGAGTCCTCTCCCCCTCCCTCCAACAAGTCATGAACTGTGGCAGCACAGTATTGCAGGCTAATTCTGCCAACTGCCAGCAGTTCAATCCTGACCAGAACGAGCTTTGACTCAGCCTTCCATCCTTTCCGAGGTTGGTAAAATGATGAACCAGATTGTTGGGGGCAATAGGCTGACTCTGTAAACCGCTTAGAGAGGGCTGAAAAGCACTATGAAGCGGTATATAAGTCTAAGTGCTATTGCTATTGGCACACATACAAAGAACGACACACACACCCACTTAAAAAAAAGAAAATCAGGGCCTCACAAAGCGATAAGAGGTTTTCATAAAGCACGTTCAAAGGAATGTCTTTATGAGCTTTCTTCGAAACAAAGCACGTCCTAAAAACTCTTCTGGAAGAACTATTATGTAAAAGCAGAATGGAAATAATTCCATGACGCTTACCATCAGGACCAAAGTCAGAAGTCCATCAAATACGTTGCTTGGATAGGATAAATATCTTTTTAATCCTAAGGCCACTAATTTCAGCAACATTTCCAGAAGGTAGTACAAAATAAAGAAACAGTTTGTAACCTTGGGGGAAAAAAACAGAGTTAAAGTGAAATTTTAAATCAGAACTTTTGGAGAGCAAGAAGAACAGGGTCTCACAGAATAGATGGTCTTACCCCTAAAAAAAAGTCATCTCGCAGGGCAGGTGGCTTATCTGCATCTATTACCATAACTCCCTGGGAAGGAAAAGGCTCGCAGGTTATCAGAGGCAAAATAATTACAGTGCATTGTAAATGATGCATCTAGAACATATAAGGTTGCAATGAAAAATCAACAGTCCATGAAAAACATTAGTCAACCTACTGCCTGCACTACTTGTTAGGCATAAAGATATTATATCTGCACGCCAATCAAATCTCCAGGTGGTTTTCTAAGCTAATCTGACCAGTCATATATGAACTAATCACTGAACTGCATTTTGTTTGATAGTCTAAGTCAGTGGTTCTCAACCTGTGGGTCGGGACCCCATTTGGGGTCAAACGACCATTTAACGGGGGTCGCCAAACAATGCAGTCCGTCATTTTTTCCCCCTTTTCCTTAGCTGTGCTACTCCCTTTTATTCTATTGGCTTTTGAAAGCCAATAGAATAGACTCTCTTGAATAGAGTCTAATTCTATTGGCTTTCAAAAGCCAATAGGAATTGTCCAGGCTGTCTCTTCCCTGCTGAATCCGCCAAAGGTCCCATTCTACAAATGGTGCTGCACCAGTTGAGTAGTCCTCGATTTACGACTGCTTGAGTAGTCCTCGACTTACGACCGGTTGGGGGTCACGGCATTAAAAAGGTTGAGAACCACTAGTCTAAGTCAAATAGTCTAAGAACACAATGCCTTACAGAAATAAAATATCCCCCAGACCAATAGTATTCAGAACCAGGTTACCCCCCACCAGTTCCTACTTATATACAGTTGCAAAACACAAATATCAGCAAAGCCATTGGATAAAATATCTAACTAAGACTAGGAAGAGCTGGGTTCACATCCTGATTTGTCACAAAGCGTCTTAAGATACAGCAGGGCAGTTGCATAGCCTCAGCCTAATCTATCTCACCCAGTTTGTGAAAATAAAATAAAGACACAGGTCCAGCCATCAGCTTTTTGCAAGAAAAGAGAACAGATAATCATTGTATTAATTATAGTTCTTTTTTTAAGCTATCTGATATGGCTTCAGATCATTGTTTCAATCTTTTGTTTGTGGTATAAACCATAGCAGGAGGCTGAAACTTTAACCTAGGATTCTTGTATCCTTCAGTGGACAGATGAAGCTAATTTACATAAAATGATTAAGAGATTTCTTAATACTTTAAATCAGGGGCAGTCAACCTTGGCTCTTTTATGACTTGTGGACTTCAATTTCCAGAATTCCTGAGCCAGCTTGAAGTCCACGAGTCATAAAAGAGCCAAGGTTGACTACCCCTGCTTTAAATACTTTTCTTAAGTATTTTTCTTACATACAATAAAGAAAGAACTTTCCTCACAAAGAGAAGACGCTACTTCAAATGGCACCATGTACTTACGCATACACAGAAAATATTTGCTAGTGCTACAAGGTTTCCTAAATAACCAAAGTAGTGATGTCCAAAGATAAACTGAACTCGCTGTAAGAATGGTGACTGATAATCTGGTTTGGGAGGACGCTGAAAAAAAGCAGAATGAGAAAGTCTTATCAGGAATTATTTTTACAGGATGCCTGGAAGAAAATGTGGCTTTGGGATATTGTCTGAAAAAGGGCATACCATTTCGTCAGTTTGAGGCACATGCCTGAGCAATGCCTGCTGTTGAAAGTAGTCCTCAACGTACGACCATAATTAAGCCCAAAATTTATGTTGCTAAGTGAGACATTTGTTAAGTGAGTTTTGCCCCATTTTATAACCTTTCTTGCCACTGTTGTTCAGTGAATTCCTGCAGTTGTCAAGTTAGTAACACAGCTGTTAAGTGAATCTGGCTTCCCCATTGACTTTGCTTGTCAGAAGGCCGCAAAAGGTGATCACATGACCCGGAATATGGCAACCGTCATAAATATGAATCAGTTGCCAAATATTTTAATTTTGATCACAAGGCCATGGAGCAACATCTGTGAGTTGAAAAATGGTCATAAATCACTTTTTTTCACCACCGTTGTAAGTTTGAATAGTCACTAAATGAACTGTTATAAGTTGAAGACTACCTGTATATATGATTCCCCTTAAGTTTATAATCTCTTTAAAAGCTGGGTGGGGGAAAGGATATCATGACAGAGTGGCAGGAAAAAAATTATACCTGCATCTTTGCATATTTAAATACACAACTTATCAATGGTTCATTAATAAAAAGGCTTCTAACCCCAAAATGGATATGGCTCAATTATCAACAATGAATACTTATCAATATTTGAAAAATTTACAGTATACAGGGTACGTAGGTGGGCTTTGGCATAGTAGACAGTATTCCACTGTTGTAGATATTTTTACACAAATTACCGCAAATATTACATTCCTCATAATAATCTTAAATTTAGACAGAACATTACTAATCAGTAGTCTCATTCAAGAGTACAGAAACACTGTACTAATAGGATACATAACTTCCAACCTCTAGAAAGCTTCTAAAAGTTACTACTCAATTATAATATTTAATTGACAAAAGGGGGGGAAATGTTAGTCTTAATAAGGTCTATTTCTCTGATTCATTGCCAGCTTACTTTTGGTACCACAAACTATTGAAGCCAAGAGTGGCCTTTGGCTTGCATTTCCCTATTCTGATGTTATGTTCATCCATCCATCCTTGCCATTAACATATATAGCCCCTCATCACTCCCTGAAAGCAAAGTTTCAGAAACGTCCTTGAAACATGTATTTGTTTCTTATTACTTTCCACTGTGCAGAATTTCAAAGTGGTTTTACAACAGTGCTACAGGAAAAAAGAAATGGTAGATAAAAGCAGCAGCTAGGAAAAGCCAATAGAAAAAATCCTTCAAGGCAAACATACTTAAATATGTTTTAAGCATATTTAAAAGCATCGCAGCTACAGGACAGTTACTGCAGCAAAATCTGTCCCGTTTCTCAATATTGCCAAGAATTGTTTTTCAATTTCATTACATATCTAGATAGATTCAAGTATTTATAGCTCACAAGTTTATACAAAGCACATCAACAACAGCTAGTCTCATACCTCTTTAACTTTATGCTTGTCGAGTTCATCAAAAAGTGTCTGAAACTGAGTAGCTGACAGCTCTCCTGGAGGGCAAGATTTAAGCTTCTGCACATGTAACAGAAACAGGTATGTATCATGCAGATGTCATAGGTCAGTAAAAACAGTATCTTTAAAACAAACTAAAGTAACAAACTTAACTACAAATGGTGTCCTACCCTAATGATTGCTTCTTTGCAGTAGGAATCCATTTTTACTTTCTGGAGGACTTGAAGAAGAGCTTCAGATTGGACACACAAGCTAGGAAACCAAAATCAAAATATATGGGAAAGTGGACACTCAAACTAGGAAAGCAAAAGCCACATAAACCTTCTGCTATTCAGCCTCCACACAGGCACATCTTATGCATAATTATGCACATTTACTTATTTTCCATCAGACCTTTAAGATGTCTTTCACTTACATATTTTTATTGATCAAAGTCTCTTTCAAAGAACAAAGAACTTCAAAGGCAGCACGGATCCCCAAGCGTCTCCGGAAAAGCGATGATTGAACCGATTTCTAAAAAAATGTAGGAAAAGAAAGCCCATCCAAAATAACAGCAGAAAGATACAGACATCTAGATCGGGGTGTCAAACTGCCAGCCCACGTGCCAGTTGCATCATATGAGGCCGCGCCCACCCCAGCTCCAGCAATGCAAAAAAAAGTCACAATACATCGTGACATGTCACGTGATCCAGCAAGTTTGACACCTGTGATCTAGACCAATGGATATTTATGTAGGCCATTACTGTGAAAGATAAAGTTACAGAATGTTCTGAAGTAGCAATTACTGAAACCCAAAGATATGAATCTTGGTTTTGCCAGAAGTACAAAATCAGGATGGCCAGAAAGGAAATGAATATTATCCATATTCATATGGATATATTTCTCAAATTTCTCAATTATCAGTTCAAAGGAATTATGGGTACGAATCTCAGAAAAAGCCACTTTTTGAAATACTAAGGAGCTACAGGTAGATATCATGGGTGGCTCTAATCCCCCTTTTTGTGGTACCCAAAGCCTAACACTCAACAACTAATGTCCAAATCATAGAGGCTAATGAAAAGCAAAGGACGGACATGTAAGCTCTGTGACAGATTAAAACATGGAATAATGTTTAACCCTGCCTATTCAAAACAAAAATTTCAGTCCATCTAATGGAAATGTTATGAGTATAGCATGGGCCCAGCGATTAATGAAAGATTAACTTGGTCCCATTAGCCAAAGTTTATCTAATATTTAAAAACAACAACTGGAAGTTGAAGAAAACATTATATTGCAGACAGGAAACCCATCAGTCTTATTTCATATAAACAGGAAATATTTTTGATAATTGTAATACAAAGGGACAATATGTATGACATAGTTAAGATAAACCTTGCAGAGGAAACTCTTTTTGTGCACGTTTATATAAGTTTTCACTGAATGTGATTCTGTTGGAATATAGGGTCCTCAATCTATAGCCCGTGGACCTGGACTGGGCTGCAGGCTCATGGCCAGCGGGCTGCAGAAACAGCTGGCCAGTATGCGCATGCATGGGCGCGCATTCCCCCCCCTCGTGCTAGTATCCGTGGCCCCATTTGTGCATGCATGCGGTCATGAACGGGGACACTAGTATAGGGCAGATGTCCGCAGTCCGTTTGTGCATGCACCGCTCGCCCAAGTGGTTTGCGTGGCCGTTCATACATGAGCGAAAAGGCTGCTAGCCACCATGGGGGGGTGCAGTTGTTCACACATGCGCACGGTGCCAGCGCATGCTGCATGCACAAACAGGGCTGCTAGTGCCGCTCCAGTGTGTGTGGCCCTATGCGTGTGCATGCACCAATTTTGAAGCCGCTCTCCTTCCCTCCGGTCCGCCAGCCCAGAAAGGTTGGAGACCTCTGTGTTAGAATGTATTTTGAATGTATTGCAACAACTACAGAATTATTCAGTCAGTAGATGGCAGTGTTTAGTTTGCATCTATCATTGTAATCTAGGGTTCCTTTTGTTCTGCAATAGTTGAAACCATTAAGCAGCAAGGCCAGTGGTGGGATTCAGCCAGTTCTCACCACTTCAGCAGAACCGGTAGCTAATTTTTTGTTGCCCAGGCCCAGAATGGATTTTCAGAAGTAGCATCCACACAGAGAACCGGTTGTTCATATATTTGAATCCCACTACTGAGGAAGGCCCATGGTGACTGAACACTGTACATTTTATTTAATCTGCATGGCTATATAATCACCCTCTGCTGCCAATTTGTATATAATAAAACAGAATTTCTAACAAATTCATATGTTCAGCTGAAGTGTTGCCAGCTAACAAAATATCAATATTATGTTGAATTCTATACAAGCTCAGATCATTACACTTTTTGTCAATTTTTTACTACATGTTGATTATATTTTGTTTCTGCAATGGATATTATGTTAATTCTTGTTTCTATAACATGAGAAGAAGACTAGAAACAGAGGCTGTCTAAAAATACAGCCTTTTCTAGAAATCAAGTGGGAGAAACTTCACCTCATTGGAGAAATCATATCATACGAAAAGAACTCCAGAAAAGACACATATTGGACATCTGAAAAATCTAATCTAGTCTATATCCTTCCAGGACTGCAAATAAAATATCAGAATTATGGAATGAGCAATGCTCGTTACCATTTTAGTTTTCCAAACTTTTAAGGCTATGATTCCCTTCACATAAGAAGAATGTCACAATCATCATCACAATGAGACAGCCACTAGTCTGTGGCCGGCAGTCAAGTTCATAGATCAGGGATAGTCAACCTTGGCTCTTTTATGACTCGTGGACTTCAACTCCCAGAATTCCTGAGCCAGCTAAGCTGGCTCAGGAATTCTGGAATTGAAGTCCACGAGTCATAAAAGAGCCAAGGTTGACTACCCCTGTCATAGATCATGGCCACAGCGTTGAGGGCAGCATCTTCCTCCATAGCAGAAGTATAAATTTAAGAATATGATGCTGTAAGGTCTCAGTTGCATTTGTACCATTCCAGTGGCCATGACATCGAGTGATAGAATTTCCTGCTCAGTAGCCTGAACTCTGATTTAGCATTTTTAAACTACGATAAATTGTAACATTTGTTAGGCAACACTTACCAAAAGATATCCACGAAACTGATTGTATATTATTGCTGTCAACAAGTTCATCAGAAATAAATTTCCTGTAACAATATGAAATTTTCTTATTTTCTTTTAGGCAACAGTACAGTTTTGTTTGTTTTCTTCCTGAAAACTAAAACAAAGAACTAATTCAATCTTTACATTCCACCCAATCTGAACACACAGCTGAGCAAGGATGGAAAAAACCTTACTTACTCCTTGTATGTTAAAAAGAAATAAACAATACAACAAAATGCAGTGACATAAAATTGCCTTTGGAAGAGCAAATACAGCCCTCATAAAAGATCAGGAGAACCATGCAGTACTAGGAAGTATGAATCACCAATTGAATTGAAAAGAAAGCAACTAGATAAATCTCACAGAATTGCATTATACAGGCTAGCTCTACAGTGTGTCGAAGGCTTTCTCATGAAACATTGCCAATTAATATTTGTTTGTTTCTCTACAGCCTCTTCTCTGCCTCAGCTTCTTCCATTCTAGACAAGATGGAATCCCTAATTTTCTACAAACATTCTGAACATTTCAACAGACCCTGGGAGTGCCATAGAAATGTCTAGTGTGAATCTCCTAAGTCCAGAATCAACTACTTACAGCTTCCCCAAAGAAGCTCAAGATTAGTTATACTCCAAATTTCTTTTCCATGGCTTCCTGTCCTGATTAAAACTTGCTGGGACACAAGTTTTCTTCTGATGAATTTCCCAGGGGTGCTTATAAGCAACATTTACTAGTTCCCAATAAAACCAGTGAAGTCTTCATTTCCTGCTTAAGATGACAAGTAGACTGTAGTCCTCAGAGCTTAAGAGCAGAATTCATTAGCAACCGGAAAGGTAGTCCATTGGTTGCCCTTATCATCTTGCCATTATAATTTCAGTCACATCTCCATTAGCCACTCACTTTTTATGCACATTCTGCAATTATGGGTACCAACACATGGAAAAGAATGAGTTTACACTGCATGGCTTCGGAGGGTCTTTTATTTAAAGAAACAATCCACTTACCTATTACAGTGAAGAGTACAAAGAAGATGCAATATGCTCGATTCTTAGAATACGCAGGAATCATCACTGTTCAATGTTAAAAAACAATAAATAAAGTTTAAGAAATGTCGCATTTAAGGTAATAATGTGCCCCAATCCTTAAACAGAGATATATGTAGCTTTTAGCAGTGAAATGGGGAATTCGTTTTAGCAGTTATCCAGGAACTCATCACTCTTGACACAAATGAGGGTCTGCAAGTCCTGGTTTGGGTTAGAAGCTACATAATGCATTAGAAAGGCCTACTTGATTGTGCCAGGCCTTATAGTAATCTAGCATTTTTTTTCTCTCATAAACCCCTCTGCCAAAAAATATCTCAAAAATGCCAAAAAGAAGGGTTTAAAAGGGAACATGCCATTTTTCCATTAGTCCTCCCCTACAACTAAGAAGTGGAGAGCTCCTTGGGAATCAGGCATTCTTTAAATCTATATAAACAAATATATAAAATCTACCCCAAACCAGAATTAATACAACCGCTCTTGGTAGATCTGTTCTCAATGAAAGTATCCACTCTCCTTTTAACACCATCAAACTATCATTATTTCCTGTGATAATGAATTCCACAAATTTCATTATTCAATGCTTTTATGGAAACTGAATCAGCATATGAGGGAAAGCAAAGTCAATTATATCCACCTTTCCAGGAAAAAAGAAGAAGTCAAATGTCCCTAAAGAATGAAGAATCTCTGAGTTTAGCCACATATTAAGAAAGAAAAGGAAAATATTTTTTGGAAAAGGATCCTTACCATCTGGATTATTTGCAGTTGTCAACAGTACCAGCAATGAAGTTAATGAATCTGGCAAATTATGAAAATATCCTTGCCACTCTTTATCCTGTGGACCATCCTAATCATAGAGATCCAAACTGTTAGCAAACAAAGTAACCAATCAAAGGCACTTAAGAGCTATGCACTGTCACCTTTGGTCACCCATTCAATCCAATCAAGTACTGAATACGTATTTCGTTTAGTGGGCTGAAAGGAATCTAGTCTATACAAATCAAGGTAAACAACCCAATTACTTCTCTTGCAGTTGCTTCAGGCAGACAAGTATTTCAATATCTAAATACAAAAGACATTGTTTATAACTGGAGAAAAAAAGAAATGTAGGACATGACATATCTGGTCTCAGACAGTACTTTTTTTTAGTAACTCGTTTTCCAGTCAAAACAAGCTATTTCCACATAACACACTCTTATGTTTAACTGTTTACAATTTGGATTCCTGTTCATTCTGTTGGATTGAATCAAAACAAAAACGTTGCAAATTGTAATTCCAGATAATCCAAATTTTATTTTTCTTTCATGAGACTAAGTGAAGTGAAAATGCAAGAAAAAAGAAGTGATTGGGAATACAGGAAAGGCAGTCAGAGAAAAAGTTATGCGGTACTCTGGCCCATCTATCCGATTCAAAATTCTATCTTCCAAACCAAAAAGCCTATTTTTACCCAGGTTTGTTGCTCACGCATAGTCAGCTCTGAGGATGCTTCATGAGAATTGACACAGAATGTACAGGAACCAAATGAAAACATACACACACACACGCACGGAGAAATATAGCAAAGCCAAAGGCCTTTGCTTTGTATAATCCAAATGTGCTTAATAGGACCCTGAACTGTCTGTGTGAGATGATTTTATCTTCACTTTACTCAAAAAACTCTTTGAACATAATGTTATTAGCCAGCAGGACTGAAATATGTAATTTTTCTCACATAATTCCCTGCTAGTTTTTCGATAAGGTGAATTTTCAAAAATTGCTCTTTATGACAATGGAGGAATCTTGTCGTGCAACTTTAACAAATGCAAAAATTAAGGGGAAAACAGAACAGCAAAAACAGAGACAGGAAAGATGAAAATTACAAAAGGGGATCCACAACTTTCTAGAAAGAATTCAGAAAAAGTTCAGGAGAATGACAAGGAAAAGCTGACAGATCTCAGCTATGAAATTGTCCTTCATAGAAAATGCAGAAGTAATTTAGTTCTGCCCCACCAGGGAATGTCAGATGCAGGAAAGAATAATGTCTTGTAATTTTACTGACAATGTGACAATGGTATGAATAATTATCAAGTAAAATGATGAGCAAGGGAAAAAATTGCCCAGATTTATCGTAATTTTATGCCTAAAACATGACATGGGGGGAATTTACATTTCAGGGGAAAAAATGTTTATTTAAAAAAATATACATCTTTTTATATATAAACACAACTCTTTTGTCCTAGACCAGTGGTGGCGAACCTATGGCACGCGTGCCAGAGGCGGCACTCAGAGCCCTCTCTGTGGGCACACGTAACGTCCCCCTGGAGATGGCGAGGGACTGGCCCCCACCACCCTGGCCCCTCCCACCCAGTCTGCCATGACCAGTGCGTCCACGCCCACCTGGCACCTGGTGATAAATAAGCGGGTTTTTGATCGCAGTTTGGGCAGTGCGTCTCTAAAAGGTTTGCCATCACTGTCCTAGACAAAGAACCAAGATTTCATTACATGTGTTACTTACTTTTGTCCGAGCAAACAGCAGCATGCCAAACATGGTAAAGAGAAACAGATGAACAGCTAAGAGCAGCATAACACTATTAGGGAGAAAATATAATGCCAACATTATTCCTTTATCACAACACAGGACCACATGTAAAGAAAGAGATGCCACAGACAACATTCAGCAGTGAACCAGAAAAAATATTGTTCCTACAGAGTTAAATATGTCAAATGAGGAAAAATAAGCCCAATGCATCTAAAACTAAGAAACGAGAGACACTACTTTGATGGACATCTTCAAATGGCATTGAAGAATTTTTCACTTGTGAGAGCAGAGACGTCCTCCTCTGTCACCAAAGTCTCAGCTGCAGAAATCTTACTGTTAGCTACTCCTGGACAGGGTAATGTCATCACTGCTGTTCTTTGGAGCTTCTTAATAATAATAATAATAATAATAATAATAATAATAAGAAGAAGAAGAAGAAGAAGAAGAAGAAGAAGAAGAAGAAGAAGAAGAAGAAGAAGAAGAAGAAGAAGAAGAAGAAGAAGAAGAAGAAGAAGAAGAAGAAGAAGAAGAAGAAGAAGAAGAAGAAGAAGAAGAAGAAGAAGAAGAAGAAGAAGAAGAAGAAGAAGAAGAAGAAGAAGAAGAAGAAGAAGAAGAAGAAGAATAAGAAGAAGAAGAAGAAGAAGAAGAAGAAGAAGAAGAAGAAGAAGAAGAAGAAGAAGAAGAAGCAGCAGCGCCTTGGGTGCAATCCCAAAACAACTGGAGCACCACTTGAACACCATTGGCATTGACAAATTCGCTATTAGTCAATTGCAAAAGGCGGCCTTACTAGGAACTGCTTCCATCCTGCGACGATATTTGTAATATCATCAAACATCCACATCTGCCTATCCCAGGTCCTGGGTAACGACTCAATAGGTAGACAAAATGCCAAATCCAGTCTGAACATCTGGCTGACTGTGCGATGATTATTATTATTATTATTATTATTAATAATAATGGGACCTTGGAGGTCATCCGGTCCAAACCCCTGCTCAGGCAGGAAACCCTATACCATTACAGACAAATGGCTGTCCAGTCTCTTCTTAAAAACTTCCAGTGTTGGAGCATTCACCACTTCTGGAGGCAGGTTGTTCCACTGGTTAATTGTTCTAACTGCCAGGAAGTTTCTCCTTAGTTCTAGGTTGCTTCTCTCCTTGATTAGTTTCTATCCGTTGCTTCTTGTTCTGCCTTCAGGCACCTTGGAAAATAGCTTGACTCCCTCTGCTTTATGGCAGCCCCTGAGATATTGGAACACTGCTATCATGTGCCCCTCATCCTTCTCTTCATTAAACTAGACATACCCAATTCTAGCAGTCATTCCTTATATGCTTTAACCTCCAGTCCCCTAATCATCTTTGTTGCTCTTCTCTGTACTCTTTCTAGAGTCTCAGCATCTTTTTTACATTGTGGTGACCAAAACTGGATGCACTGGTTCCAACTTAAACATTTTTACTGTTTTCTTTCTCAAATGTTAGCATGTGAAAAAATGTATTTATTAGAGATAAGCAAATGCTAATGATGTGCATTTTGAAGGTGTAACATTTGGGGGATCACTGGATCATCTGGCTTATCTCTAGCAGGCATTATACATTGTTACATACCTTGTAATTTCTGGCAGTGTCCTCTTGATGCTTTTTAGTGTTTTTTTCATCATTGAAGAATTCTGGAGAAGGAAGAAAGGCCGAAGGATACGTCTTATCCTCAGGTTCTAAAAAAGAAAACATTTGGTAAACGACCACAAAAGCAGAATATCTTTAATTAATTCCACCAATAACTCAATAATCATTATGTATGGCTGCAAGAACTGCAATAATTGACAGTTAGAACAATTAATCAGTGGAACAACCTGCCTCCAGAAGCTGTGAATGTTCCAACACTGGAAGTTTTTAAGAACAGACTGGACAGCATTTGTCTAAAATGGTATAGGGTTTCCTGCCTGAGCAGGGGGTTGGACTAGATGACCTCCAAGGTCCCTCCCAACTTTATTATTATTATTATTATTATTAACAAAATCAAATAAAACCTATGATCCCTCACACAATGCAGTCATCTGATGAACAAATAAGTGGACAAAAGAAAAGCATCATCCTCCATTAATCAAATGGCAAAGCCTCATCCAGATGTCTCTATTGCATTGTAAGAATTAGGGAAAAGCCCTTCATGGAATTAATTTTCACTTGCGACCTTCCCAAGTCAAAATCAAGACTTGCCAAATCCTAAAAATATTGAAAAATAAAATTATCTTAAAAAGCAGATGAACAAGCCCAAAAACAAAATCTGCCTTTTGAATAAGGAGCTATTGTTCTATACATAATAGTTAGTTTTAACTAAGTTAAAGTTAACTGTTAACTAAAGTTAAGTTAACTGTTTTAACTAAGTTATTAGCATATTAGTTACTAGATACATTTACAGTTTTTGAACTACCGCAACAAATTTCCATAGGATATGCATCTTCTGTGGCCGTCATGCTAAGGCAGCTCTCAAGCCTATAAATACTGGTACAGCTTAGACACCGGTATACCAGAATATGCTGGAAAAATTCAACTGCTGTGAGGGTACAGCATAAGCCATGGAAGAAGAGAACAGAATGCCATGATCAGAACAATGACCCAGAAGAATGACTGATAAGACTGACAAGAGATATCTGACATTGCAAAATTTTGCTAAATTTTGGTTCTACTTGCTTTTTCTCTAAATGTTATCATTTACTGATGGCTTAAAATCAGCACCTTTCCCTTCATCTTTTCAGGTGCTAGCCTGGGAATTAGCGCAAAACTGTTTATCCATTTTATCCCCATAACTCTATGAAAGAAGCTAAGCTCAGCCATCCATGTGCTTTCAGTATGGTTTAATAATTAAAACTTCAGCCTGGAAAATCAATAATGTACTTCATTGGGTGATCTTGGGCAGTCATTAGTAACTAAAGTTACCTTGCAGTGGCATTAGGAGGATAAAATAATTATGGAAGGTACAATCACATACATCATTCTAAGCTTCTTGATGGAAGGACAAAATTAAAAGGATCATATTTATTACTGCTGTTTCTGTTGCGGTTATCATCATACACAATTACATTACAGAATTCAGATCAAAGCCATGCTAGTTCTACATTTTCCATATATAAACACAGAATACATACTGACAATGTCAGGTGTACAACCAAGCAGCATCAGTGTTTTATTTGTCCCAATCTCACATCAAAATGATCATGGGCCATCTCCGAAACCATTGATTCCCAGTCTCCCTGACATTTATCCAAGAATGCATAAACCTTACTTCATGACAGGAAGTACTCAGCGAAATGCTCCAGTCTATCAGGGAGATGAGCAGGACCAGGATGTAGGCCATTAACCACTTGGTTTTCCGAAATTCTTCCCATCCAATTAAGTAGCTCTAGTGAATCAACATATTTGAATATCAGTTAGGATACTGTCATAAGCAAAAGGATCCAAATAATTTTCTTCTTATATTTTGGAAAACAGCTAAGCCAGCTATCAGGAAAAATGGAAGATCTGATCATGTGGTAGCTTTGGGGACTATGTTCCCAATCCCAGTTCCTAAAGACAGAATGTTTTGATCTAATTGGAATACATTTCTGGGCAGAAACATGCCACCTACATTCCCACCAAGCATTATACTTGGCTTCTGAGCAACATGCCATGGGCTATCCTCCAAAAAAGGAGTGCTTAAAAGATGAGACAAAGCCTACATTTAATTTAAGTGTAAAGATCGCATTTAAATTAATTGCAATTGTTATGGTTTCTTCCTAAACCTATTTAACCTTGTATCTTTTCCTTACAAGAAAGATTACAATTTTGCAGCATCTTTCAGAGCAGTTCCGGGGATCAAACCCAGGGTTTGGGACTCACGAATGGCTCGGAGTTTTTAAATAATGTGCCTCTAATTTAAACTTTCAAAAATCAAATTTTCCTGAGAGTTCCGTTTTGGACCTGCAAACAGGCACAGAGACTTTTAGTGTGGTCTTTTCCAAACTTCTTTAAGATGACAATTCTCAATCAACACAGCCCTCAAGCTGCTAATTTACATTTTAAAACAAATAATCCATTGCATCTGGGAGAATTAATTTGCAAGATTAAAATAATCCCTTCAAAACCACACTTTGGGACCCTGGTAAGTTGCATAGAAAGAAAGGGATATCTATATCATCATAATCATCCTTGTAGGTACCAAGAAGTCCCACGGACGGCCAAAAGGGGCAAATCTATCCTGCTATACTACTTTTTTTGTATTTCAGAAGAAAGGTAATTATGGGTGAGTGGGTTGTTTCTGGATACAGTCATTGTTTATTCAGCTGCAGAAACTATGGTTGTAACAGCCCAAGGAGACACCACAATTTGTGATGCCTCCATCTTTCAGCATCAGCCAACATTAAATATTTTGCAAAGGACTATCATTGAAATACATTAAAGGTATATGATTCATTTAGCTTTTCTAAATAATGTATAGAACAACCTTTCTTAACTATATATATCTGGACAGTTCAGGCATTATAATAAACTGTCAATATAGCTGCATCTATATTGGGTTCACTCCTGCGAGTCCCTTGGACTGCAAGGCGTTCAAACCGGTCAGTCCTAGAAGAGATCAATCCCGACTGCTCTTTAGAAGGCCAGATCCTGAAGCTGAAACTCAAATACTTTGGCCACCTAATGAGAAGGAAGGACTCACTGGAGAAGGGCCTAATGCTGGGAAAGATTGAGGGCAATAGAAGAAGGGGACGACAGAGAATGACATGCTTGGATGGAGTCACTGAAGCAGTAGGTGTAAACTTAAATGGACTCCAGAAGATGGTAGAGGATAGGAAGACCTGGAGGAACGTCGTCCATGGGATCGCGATGGGTCGGACACGATTTCGCAGTTAACAACAACAACAATATTGGGTTCAACTAAGATCCTGACTTGGGGAAGAATCACATCTTCACAGTCTTCTACAGGCCAAAAGAGCGGGCCTTTCCAGGACTCGGGAGGGGAAGGCTGCTCCATAGGGCTGGTGCTATGACTGAGAAGTTACATCTCCTAGGTCCCGTCAGATAACATACTTTAATACAGGGGACCCAGATTATGCCCATTCTGTCAGATCTGGTGGGACAGACAGAAAACCTTGGGGAGAGGTAACCTGATCCTGTGCCGTGCACGGCTTAAAGGTGATAACCAGCACACCTTGAATTAGAAACAGTGCACCTTGTGTAACAACAGTGCAAACCTAGCAGACTTTAGTGCACTCTAAACGATGTACCCTACTCAGTGGTGGAATTCAAATATGTGAACAACCAGTTCTCTGTGTGGATGTCACTTCCAGAAGACCATTCTGGGCCTGGGCAACAAAAAATTAGCTACCGGTTCTGCTGAAGTGGTGCAAACTAGTTGAATCCCATCACTGACCCTACTGTATTCTAAACCATAAGCTTCTGGGTGTTCTTCAAGAGCAGCCATGTAGAATACATTGCAGTAATTAAACCAGGAAATGACCAAGGCCTGAAATACTGTGAACAAAGCCTCCTGGTCCAGGAACAGGCACAACTGGCATATACAAAATGGATTTGTACAAAAGTCCACTAGCCACAGCTGCCATCTGTTCTTTGAACAGGAGCTCTGAGTCCTAGAAGATCCCAAATTGCATAAAAATTCCAAAGGTGGAAAATCTCCAGATCCAGGAAGCCCCAAACCTAAAGACATTCCATGCCAGAGCTGAGTCACAGACTTCCCCATCCAGACTCTCACAATCTCCAGAAACTGAGGAAGCACCTTGAAAGCATTTTTTGTCCAGCCAGAGGTTGAGACATATAACTATATTTTATGTATAATTATAAATCATCTGCATATCTTACCCAGTGGTTCCTTGTAGATATTAAATAGGGTGAGGAGAGAAACACTTCACAGAGAAAGGGCCTAGGGCTACATCTCTCCCCCCTTCCAATAATACCGAGTGGAACCAGTGTTGAAAAAAGAACACTGAACAAGTGAAAAACACTGTTCCCCACTCCTTTCCCCCAAACTTGGCTCAGAAGGATATTGAAATCTGCTGAGAGACCCAGAAGGGTTCTCCAAAGGTCATCTACAAGTTCGATCAATACTGTCCGAGTGGCATTCAAAGTTTCCTCCAGCAAGCTCTGAAACTGAGCATTTGCTATCTTCTCATCAACCTTCCCTTAAAAAAGGTTAAAAATCAGGCAAAGTTATCCAAAAGATGAGATGATACGTATCTCAGAGCTCACTAACCTTTACAGAGACATCTGCTATAAAGATAAGGAAGCAAAGCAGCTCAATGCTTTCAGTCAGGCCACAAGGAGGCTTCCAAGCTTCTGAGCGATATCGAACATCTGATGTGACGGTAAGTGAAGAAGGAGTTTCAATGAAAGCAAGAGCCAGGATTAGCGTAATGGTGAGAATCAAAATCCTTAAAGAGAAAAGAAAACACGTATGTGGGAGGGAAAGAAGGCCAAAAGTTCATTTTCCAAAATATTCCATGTCATAAAGTGATAAAGGAATATGAGTTTTCTGAAACATTGTTTGATGGTGAAATATAATTCGGCTGGCAAAAGCCTCACCAAGTTTTATAAAGAAAAGGAGCCTAGCCAGTCCTTGCTCAGTTGCCTGGGGCAACAGATCACTTTGCCTCTGAAAATGCCAGCTAGGGTTGCTGGGAAAGCATCAGGAAATCTATAGTTTCAACCTATCATTTGGACCACTAAACCCTGCAGCTCCACTCTGCCCTCACAGAAGCTGCTCATATCTTTTAAAAAGTCCTTGAAAGAGAAGCAATTAGCAAAACACTAAAATACTGAAAATTGGAAGCAGCCGTTAAGGACTTGTGGGATTAGAAAAAGCAGTTGACCTTCTCAAAGAAACAGAGCAGCGTGGGGGGGGGGAATTCTCACCATTGGCAAACTTCTGAATAATACCACCGATAAAGCCACAAGGAGTTAGAGTCCACACGATGATTTATAGAGCGATACTAAAGGGGTGAAAGACAGAGAGGTGATTCAAGCATCTCTTTTGATTTGCTCTTCAAGTATGGAAGTTAAAAGTTTATAGGTAAATAATAACACCATCAAGGAAACGTCTACTAATGACTAGGCAAATTTGGGTCAAAGTAGATGTTCTATAAACATGAGACATACAATTATGAATTGGTTTTATTTTAGTTCATTTCAGATAGAGCTTGGTTTTTTTACATGTTTACAGAATATTTTCCACAGTCCAGTTTCTATGAGTTTCATTTATTTATTAAATCTATTCGCAGCCCATCTCGTATCGAAACAGGGTCCTTCTGCCAGCCGAATGGCATCTCTGCCACAATGTTCTCATATCATTTTTTGAATAGCCCCTGAAGGCAGGGAAAGTCCTACTGACTGATTGGAAGCCCATTTAATAACAGACCCACTGCTACTAGCAATGTCATGACCACTGCTATGCCATGAAGCTATGCCATCACTCCGGATAGTTCTCGTTTTGTGACTGTTCAAAGTTACAACAACACGGGAAAAAGTGACTTACAATTGGTCCATGCCATTTATGACCGTTGTAAGTAACATCCTCACAATCACGTGATCAAACTTCAGGTACTTGCCAACCGGCATGAGTTTACGATGTCTACACAGCATCCTGGGGTCACATGACTGCCATCTGTGATCTTCCCAGTCAGCCCCAGAAAGCAAAGTCAATGGGGGGGAACCAGATTCACTTAAACAACTGCAGTGATTTGCTGAACAACCGTGATAAAGTTGAAAAATCAAGTGTGACTCACTTAACTTCTGTTGCCTTGCTTAGCAACAGAAATTCTCTTCCCAATTGTGGTCATAAGTCAAGGACTACCTGTATTCTTCAAAGATGTGAAAACGCAACCCCACATGATATTTTTTTTTTTACAAACATTCTGAATGATCTGACTTATTATCACAAACTTTGTAGTATAAATCAACATTCAGCAGGAAAGAAGAGTACTGGAGCTTCTAATAACAGCCCTTTAATTAAAACAGTACACTTGGACCAAACTTTTACCTGAATTGCATCTTCAATGAATACTACAGCTTGGTTGAAGTAGAGTTCAGGGTCATCAATGACTGTAAGATTCAAAAACACAATGGTTATAAAATGGTTATAGAGTGGTATATTCTTTTGTTTATTTGGGAGTGTTCAAACATATTAGCTAACATGCCTTCATGATTCAAAGCTATTTCAAGGAACAATTTAAAAAATGAGGAAGAGAATCTCCACACCCTTCTGCTGACTGACATCAAGACAAAGAAATTGGTTGTTGTTTAAGTTACCTTAACAAATGAGTCTTTTATGACATATATCAACAATTTTCTGAAAACTATAAGAAAAATCTTATCTTTCCAATGTATTTCTCAAGCTATGGGGAAAGGAGGGCCGATACATAAGCCAGAGACATATCTTACTTCAATTTTAAATGCTACCCTCTGCGATCTTAAGCAAACTTCATTTCTCTTTCACGCACACACATGTACACTGCATTTCTCTCTTTTGAAGTCAGCCCCCAATTCCAATAAGTATTACAATCACACTAAATATGGTAAGAGTTACTGAAATAATACGCACAGGGAGCTGTGAGTTTGTTAATATATCAGGCAGCAGACTTATACTTTCCCCAGCCAAACCATTACACAAGGAAGAGCAGAAATATACTTATTTGTCAGAGTGCCAGGCCATCAATAGCCATCAATAGACATATAGATATAAACAATATCTATGTAATATGCAAAAGAGACAATCAACAAGCCAAAAAGGAACAAAAAGACCAAAATAACTGCCCACCAGCAATCAGCAATCAGCACCCAGATAAGCATAGATTAACTCCAAGATTAACATCAGATCAACAATCAAATAAACGGGAGGTGGTTGGCTTATCAGTTACGAAAGAAACAGAAAGCTAGAATTATAGAGAAAGTAAAATATAAAGGTACTGAGGTTTTTCAGCAAGATTTGATTAAAAAAAGCTTTTTGGACTTTTACACAAAATTATATTCAAGTGATAATATAAGGGGTTTGGATATAGATAAATATTTACAATCAGTACATTTTCCTAGACTTTCAGAGGAACAACAAAATGGGATGAATAGTTTAATTACTGTGGAGGAAATTGGCTTAGCTATTAAGCAGTTAAAGGTTGGAAAGTCTCCTGGAACAGATGGACTGACTTCTAGGTATTATAAGATTTTATCTGAAGAAATGATAGAGCCACTAAAGGAACTCTTTAATAGTATTTTGTTGGGTATGCAAGTTCCTCCTTCTTGGAAAAGAGCTTTTATATCACTGATTCCGAAGGAAGATCAGGATCTTACAGAGCCTAAGAATTATAGGCCAATTTCATTATTGAATGTTGATTATAAGATCTTTACAAAAATTTTGGCAAATAGATTAATGCAGGTTATGAAAGACTTGATTCATAGTGATCAAGCAGGATTTATAACAGGGAGATATATGAAACATAATGTTAGACAAATTATTAACTTAATTGAGTACTTGGATAAGAATAATCAGATTCCTGTGGCTTTTATCTTTTTGGACGCTGAAAAAGCTTTTGATCAATTGGACTGGCAATTTTTATTTTCTTTGGTAGAGAAAATGAATTTTGGGGATAATTTTTTACATGCACTTAAAGCTATATATCAGCAGCAATCTGCACAAATTGTTGTAAATGGGGGATTGACTGAGAATTTTAATATTCAAAAAGGGACAAGACAAGGATGTCCATTATCCCCATTGTTATTTGTTTTAACATTGGAAATTTTATTGATTCAGATTCGGGAATCGAAGTTAGTTAAGGGTGTAAAGATAAGGAAGAATGAGTATAAATTGCGGGCATTTGCGGATGATTTGGTTTTAATTTTGGAACAGCCGAATCAGGCGATTGATGGTTTATTAGAACTTATAACACAGTATGGGAATGTTTCTGGTTTTAAAGTTAATAATTATAAGACTAAGATATTATCTAAGAATATGTCAGTTAAAGAAAGGGAAAGTTTGATTAAAGCCACAGGTTTTCAGATGGTAAAAAAGGTTAAATACTTGGGAGTATATCTAACTGCTTCAAATGGAAAATTGTACAAGAACAATTATGAACCACTATGGGCAAAAGTCCAAAAGGATTTAATAGATTGGAAAAAATTGCAATTGTCATTGTTGGGGAGAATTTCAGCTGTAAAAATGAATGTTCTACCAAAGTTTCTTTTTTTGTTTCAGATGATACCTATTCTTAAAAAAGAGGCAAATTTGGAGGAATGGCAAAAGGGTATCAATAATTTTATATGGGCCGGGAAGAAACCAAGGGTTAAATTTAAGATATTACAGGATGCTCGAGAAAGAGGGGGACTTAAGGCACCCAATTTGAAATTATATTATGATGCAGCCGCCCTAACTTGGTTAAGTGATTGGCTTAATTTAACAAATATGGATATTCTTTTTTTGGAAGGTTGGGATTTAATATATGGTTGGCATGCATATTTAATTTTTAATAAGAAAGTTGATCGGACTTTTAAATCACATATTTTGAGGAATGCCTTACTTCGTGTTTGGAAGAAGTATTATTATAGATTAAATTATAAAATACCTATCTGGGGGATTCCCAGACATGCAATTGAGGGAACCTCTAAGGGGACAAATTTTGATAAAATTTCATATAAAGAATTGTTAATTTGTTCTGGTTCGAATTGGCATTTGAAATCCCTAGATGTATTAAGGCAGCAAAATATTCTACAGTCATGGTTTCAATATTTACAAATAATGGATAGATGGACTGTAGACAAGAAAGAGGGAATAACACTAGAAGATAGACAATTGGTTATTCAGATTAAAAACCAAGGTCCGGCTCATATAAAAAGAATATATAATGTTTTATTAGAGTTAGATTCGGAAACAGAATTGGTTAAAGATTGTATGATTAAATGGGCTCAGAATATACAGGAGCCGATCTCATTGGATTTATGGGAGATAATTTGGATAAGAAATGTTAAATTTACACAAGCTCAAAATTTGAGAGAAAATTTTTATAAAATGTTTTATAGATGGCATTTAGATCCTAAAAAATTATCTTGTATGTATTCCAACATACAGCCCAAATGTTGGAGATGTGGCAATAATGATGCGACATACTTTCATATTTGGTGGAATTGTAAAAAAGTAAAGGCTTTTTGGATTATGATTTGGTGGAACATTCAAAAGATTTTTAGAAAGAAGATAAAGTTTACTCCTCAACTATTTTTACTTGGTATTTTTGTTGACTTAAATGAAAAAGAAACTACTTTGATGTTGAATTTATTAACTGCAGCAAGGTTACTAGTAGGTCTATATTGGAAGAAAGATTCTTTGCCTACTTTAGAAGAATGGATATTTAAAGTATCTAGTTTTGCAGAAATGGCAAAAATTTCTGCTTATTTAAAGGATCATACACAAGAAAGATATATTACTGTATGGGGAAGGTGGATAGATTATATTCAGAAAAAATATGGAATTAAAAAGTTTTATTTATTTTATGAATGAATATCAAATATTATAGAGAATTGTTTTATAAGTTATGGAGTTAAAGGTTAATTATGATATTTTTTTTTCTTTCTCTTTTTTTTTTCTTTTTTTTAATTATTATAATTTTCTTTTTCTTTTTTTTTCTTAACCCTGTATTCTGCTCTGGGAAGTGAAGGGAGGGGGGGTGGGGGTGGGAGGGAGGGTAAGGGGGGGGTTCTCTATTTTAAAATTTTATTGTATTTTTATAAATGATTGTATGTTTTAAAAAATAAAAATTTTCAATAATAAAAAAAAAACAATCAAATAAACAATACCCCAGTCAAGGAATTGTCAAACAAGCCCATTAAGCAGCCCAACCAAAGAACCTCTAAGACCATCCCCACCATCCCTAACAGGTAAATGACTAGAATATAAACTGAGAGCAAACCCCACTCCTTACCAGCACTGATGATGTTATCTAGTTTGGGTAATGAAACGTCTGCAAAAAACCCCAACCAAACTCAGAAAACTTCAAGCGCACCTACAATCTTATCTTGTATTTTTTTTAAAAAAAATCAAAACAAACACACTAAAGGATTCTTTATAGTTCCAAAATCTTGTATCAAATGGATCATTAGCCCGTCTGTAGCTTTTTAAAACAAAAAGAGCAGGCAGGCAAAGGGTAGGGAAGAAATGGTGGACTGAAGATAATTCTGCAAAAAATGGATAACCGATAACCACAGAGAAATGAAGAGCTGGGAAGTAGACTCGCTCTCTCATGATTTCTCTCCAGAAAAGGAGAGGACGTAAAATCACACACAAGTGCCCCCACAGCTGTTCCTCATAAGGAGACTGCAAAGCAGCAGTTTCTGACAGATTAGGTGATAAAGGACTAGCCATGTTGTCAACACTTTTGGATTGTTATCCACACAAGTCCTAAACTAGTTAAAGAGAGCCCATTCAAACAAGGTGAGTCTAAAAAACATACTTGTTCATTTATTTACTGGGGAAAATGATCAAAAGCTACAGATTTGTGAACAGCAAAAGTTATGTGAAAATTAAGTTCAGTAACTGGTGTGCTCTACCACTTTTGGGAGCAATAACTGCAATTAAACATGTCCTATAACTGCTGGTCATTTCTAAAGGATTAAGGTGAAGATTTCAACTTGGCCATTTCAAACATTAACTTTTTTCCACTTTAGCCATTCTTCGGTTGTATGACTTGTGTGTTTAGTATGGTTGTCTGGCTGCATGACCCACTTTCTCTTGAGCTCCAGTTCACAATATCCCAATAAAGGTGAACTATGAATTCAGAATTCAGTGATGGCAAGCCATTCTGGTCCAGAAGCAGCAATGTGGACCCAAGCCATAATATTGCCACCATCATCTTTTACAGACAGGATAAGGTTCTAAGGCTGGAATGCAGATTTTTCATCCAAACCAAAAAGCCATATTCTGATCTCAGCCACCTACAAAACATTCTTCCAATAAACTTCTAGCTTATCCATCTGCAAACTTTGCAAACTGTAGATGGGTACAAGTTTTTTTTGAGAGACAGAGAGAGAGTCCTGGTTTTCTCCTTGCAACCTTAACATGCATA